CTTAATTTCCCCTAGCCAATCATAGCCTCATTTTGTTCCCAAAGACCTCCAAATCCGTGTCTCAATAATTCAGGACCACTTGTAGCTCTTGCTGGGGATTTTGGAAGCTATTTATCTGAACACAAGTTACAATGCTTAAAACAAATGGTAATAATTTGGAACCATATAAAGTTTGATATGGAGATGTGCAGAATACACAAATTTTCATAACAATGATTCCAATTCAGAAACAGAGTCATGTCACTGAGGCGCAGTAATGAGGAAGTATTAAGGGGTTCAAGGTCTTTTAAAAGAGAGCAGGGTGGGGGCTGTGTTGATCTCAGAGAATGAGGACAGTTTCCTGCTTTCTGGAATCCAAAACAAGGAACTTGTCTTCGGTGCATAAGCTCTCAGTGTCCACAAAGAATACATTCATCAAGAATCATAAGACACAACACTTAGTGATAGTCATAGGATAGTAAACAAGCAATCAAATTATACTAGGAAACTAAATAAAACAATATAAATCATTACGATACAAGCAACAAGGTTATACTCATAAGTAGAAGGAGATAGGTAATAGGAAGGATTAGAAGAATAATAGTGATAATGAGGCATTCTGTGACCACATAGGGCTTTTTCAGTTAAAAATTATCACCTTGAATTCCCCCAGAAACCAAGTGGCAATTAACAAACAAAATCCCTCCCTCTGCTGCCCACCTCTGGACCAGATCTGGCTTCTGGATAGCCTTCCGGGACAGCTTATGTAGAGTTCACTGCAGTGACCCATACTGTGAATAATTTACACAACCCAGTTGCGGAATTCAGCAATTTCAGATCATGATGGAGAAGAAAATTATCCAAATGGTCACTAAGAGCTGACAGAGACTTGATGGCACATAATCAATCAATGTTATTCAGAGGAATCGATGACTAATCTAACACAGTAATTTTTGTAATACCGATTCAGGTCCATATATCTCACCTGGCCACAAGCTAAATTAAATTGCATTAAATTATTACATTACATTAAATTAAATTAATTTAAGATCATGTTTCAGAAAGTTTTAAATAAAGCATCCTGTTAAAGGTTGCAAGTTTTTAGAATGTATGAATTCATTGTGCATCCATGTCAGATTCTCCTATATAAGCAGAAAATACAAAATTAGAGCCTCATCCCCACCTTTCTCACTCTCCCTGTTTTTGTGCCCTCAAGGAAGATAAAAAGTCAATAAAACCAAGGAAATAATACAGTTCTCTGAGCAATTTCAGTACGTTGCCTCTCAGGGAGCTAAAAATTCTTTTCTCACCCATTTTTTAAAATTGGTTTGGCTTCTTAAAAAATTAAAATGACAGTTAAAAATATTTTTTCCTTCCACTTTGTCCTTAACACTCTTTTCTGGTTACTCCAATATTGCTTCAAGTTTGGGAATTACTATTGCTACATACTTTGTTATCGAGTTTCCACTTCCGCAAGCTGTGACTATAAAATCCAGTAGTCGCACTGGAGAAGTCAGACATCTTCCTCTGAGAAGCTGCAGCAATGAAGGCCCTAGTGCTCACTCTCCTCTTCCTACTCATTGCAGCCAATGAAGCCAAAGTATACACCAAATGTGAACTGCTTTCAATTCTGAAAGGAAAAGGCATGGATGGATATCAAGGCTACAGCGTGGCCAACTGTGAGTTTACTCTTTCTATCTCTCTATTTTACCCTGGTCCAGGTTTTCAAGAGGGATGGGTCCTTGGGTCCTTCCTTGGTCGGGGGAAGAATGATTGAAGATGGTTAAAAATTCTGTGTAAGAAACCAGGATAGCTTTTCATTATAACTCAAGTCTTTTATACCCCTTTCCCTGCTTGCTTTCTTCCAGGGATCTGTATGGCTTATCATGAGAGCAGATACAACAGCCGAGCTGTGGGGCCACCAAACTCAGATGGCAGTCGCGACTATGGGATTTTCCAGATAAACAGCCGCTATTGGTGCAACAATAACCAGGGCCCTACAGCTAATGGCTGTAATAAGCCTTGCAGTGGTAAGACACCTAGTGTAGAGAAGAAATTATCTTGATGAAGGAATGCAAGAGTTGTTAGGAGAACTGTTAAGATAAAGTCGATGAGAAAAGAATGACAGCTCAGTCCCAGGAAAGAAAGAAACAGCCAAAAGTGGGGGGGAAAGCTCTTGATAAGAGGTGGTATAAGAGGTGGGAGGGAGAAGTTTTGACAAGCTTTCAAAATTCTGTTATTGATGCTGTTGATGTTATGATGTAGTATTCCTGCAATCCTTATAGTGTTTGTTTCCTGATCTGATCTATTACCAAGGACTGACACCTATTATTCTAGAAAAGAAAGAAAAATGTCCCAAAGAAGTCAGGTGAAACTTTTGAAGGGGGGTTTTAATCCTTCTTCTCCTTTATTGCTCTATGTACTTGTTCAATTTTGTCCAGTGCTTCACGAAGTTTGGCACTGAATCACCCTGTCACTCAAAGTAATTTCAAGTTCCTGCTTGTGTTTTCTGTGATAGTGTCTAGTCACCATATTTTCTATTGGCCTCTTAGCCTTCCTCAATCTGCTCCTCCACTTTGTACTCCATTTCCCAAATTGTCCCAAATCCTTTAACTTCCTTCACACAGCCATATCTCACTTTCTGCCTCCACACCACACACCACAACAGCCATTGTCCTGCCCAGAGGCACAGGTTAAAGGCAGACATTTCAGCACTAGAACTCCAATTAGCAAGGAACCTGATCCAGTGCTCTCTGCCTTTTGTCGGAGAAATCTGGTTTTTGGACTCTGGTGAGACAATTCTTCTCTCACTCCTTTCCAAGAGTGCAGAAAGACTGTTGGGAAGTCTGCATATTCAGCTCCAGAAGGAAAACAGATTCCCAGTGTTCTACACTTTCCAGACTTGTTACTCTACACAGTTAGAGGATGAGAAATGGCATTTCATGCTCCACTCCAGCTGTATAAAAAGTATGGTACACTGTTAAAGAAGCGAATGCATGACATAATAACTATTGAGGTCCTACAACTGAAATGCCACCTGGGTAAGAATCTGCTTTAAATAGTAATATTATGCAAGTCTTTGGAAATCTTTTTGAAACATCTGGGTTGGGACATATTCCAATTTGTCTTTCCTGGCAGCTTTCACAAATGATGACATCACAGATGATATTGAGTGTGCTAAGAGAATTGTCCGTGATCCCCAAAAGATGGATGCCTGGTAAGTCAATCTTTCATTAATATCTTCCACTTGTAACATTGGGTAGCAATGGAACTGTCTTGAAAGTTAATTATCTTTCTTTAAATTATTATAGAACTTTTAGCCTTGATGGCAAAATACAATTTCTGAATATGGAAATTTGTATTTTTCTTGCTAGAGTGGGTTGTTGGTGCCTATTATAGCTGGATAATTTCTTCTCAGTAATTTCCCATCCATTATCTACTTTTGTTCTTTTCATTTGTTTTAAAATCTTTTATCACAGGTTCAGCTTTGGGATTTGGTACCGAGTTGGGGCAGGTAGCAGATGAAATTGGCAGGTGACCTTTTAAACACCAGGACTCTGATCCCACGGAGGAGCTCCACAGGATCAGAGAACTGGTAGATAAAGTATGCAGTGAGAGAAACAGGGAAAGATTATTTGTGAAGCCTCCAATCATAGGTTGAATAGGAAAGGGGGCTGCAGCAGCAAATGGTTAGATAGAAAACTAGTAAAATGGGAATCTAGAACCAAACAATAATGGTATTTTATGCGGTCAAATGTTAGAATAATTTAAAAGTTACTTTGCTGTGTTCTCTTCTGAGGGATTCTATGATATGGGATAAGATTTTGAGAGCCTTCTGGTGCTCACCAAAGATTTTGGACTTGAACTCCCTTTAATTCTAG